GGATAGAACAGAAGAAGAATTTAATAGAGCACCCACTCCAAAGTCTGATCATGATACAAGAAATCAAAAAAGAACGGATATGACAGATGAAGAGTTTGAAAATGTTGCAAGAACACCAATTTTAAAGTCAGGTCGTGATACAAGAAGCCAAAAGAAATCAGACATGACAGATGAAGAACTTAATAAGTTTATTAATACGCCAATTTCAAAGTCTGGACACGATACTAGGAACCAAAAGAAATCAAATATAACAGATGAAGAATTTGATGAGTTTATAAGAACACCGATTTTAAAGTCTGGACACGATACTAGGAACCAAAAGAAATCAAATATAACAGATGAAGAATTTGACGAATTTATAAATACACCACTATCGAAGAACCAAAAGAAATCAAATATAACAGACGAAGAATTTGATGAGTTTATAAGAACACCAATTTCAAAGTCTGGCCGTGATACAAGAAGCCAAAGAAAAACAGACATGACAGATACACCAATTTCAAAGTCTGGACACAATACTAGGAACCAAAAGAAATCAAATATAACAGACGAAGAATTTGATGAGTTTATAAGAACACCGATTTCAAAGTTTGACCAAGAAGAGTCTGATAAAACTGACAATGATGACGACGACGTCGGTCACAATAATAATGTTAATAAGAATGATTATTACGGGGAAGACGCCCTTCGGTCTTCAGAACGTAATATTAATAAGCAAAAAGAGATTTCTGTAGACAGTGGTTATGATCCTTATCATAATGAAACTTCTTATCATTCAGGAAAAACAAATATTCAAAAATTTTCTACTCAAAACAGTTTTCACAGCGTAAACACGTTCGATCCTCTTAGAGACCATAGCAGCAGTAATAATCAAGGAAAAAGTCATTATTCAGATCTTGAATCGCAGCCCTCTAGTGGAAACATGATCACTAATATGTTCAGTAAATTAATTTCAAATAATAAGGATGACGAAATCAAAGTTACTTTCCATGTTCATTTGCCGGAGAATATTGAACAACTTGGAAAACCTGTAGTCCTTGGTGATGTAAAAGAATTAGGACTTTGGGAAAAACCCATGTTAAAGCTTCGTCAACCATTTCCTCGAAATCCAACATATTGGCAATCTGATCCGGTTACTATTTCGCTGTCAGTTTTTGCTGAAAGAGCTGAAATTCAATATAAATATGCTATTCATGTCAAATCTATGATATATAGGGAAGAAAAAATTATATTTGAAGGAACTGGTCCTCATGATAATCGCACGTTGGATGTTAAAAGAAATAATCAATTTGGTATATGGAAAACCAGTTATCGGATTCCTGAAAGATTCCGCATAGTTACTATCCGTGACTTTGCTTTTGTAGATTATATCTTTAATTCTATCAAAACCAACAACCTTAAAGATAAAGTTATGGAATATCAACACTTATTAACTCTCTATAATGATTTAACGATCCACGCATCAAATCTTAACTTCATTTACAAACGTGTTGATGATAAAAGAGAAAAGCGACTCTTCTTATGTCTTATCTTAGGATATTATTTTTCAAGGAGGCAGGGGTCTTTCCATGAACCCTTAAGAGATGACTTTCAATCTGGATTACTTCTTAATGCACTTGATGACTATAAGCAAGAAACTTTACCTTCAGACACCAAAGATCAAATGTATACTGCTATTACAACTTTAGTTCAGCATAATGCTTTCCAAATGCGATTTGATTGGCTCATTATTTTTACAATTGCGGCTGAAATTGATCCTAACTATACATTCGTTGATCGTTTAAGAACCTTACAGTATTCTAATGATTATTTATTGACAAAATTCACTAAAGGATTTGAATACGTTAAAGCTTCCGTTGAAGAAGTTGAATTTGAAATTTACGTTAAAATTGCTAAGGTAAAATTGACTTTAATATCAGCTAATTTTGAAATACTCTTTTTGAAAAAAAAAAAAAACTTGAAATTAATTTAAGATAATGAATTCCTTTTATAGTGGTTAATTCAAATATGTAATACCATGGATTCTCTTATTAAAATTTGGAAGGATATTCTTTTACATAATAACAAAATTGATAAATGTATCTCTAAATGTTTTATTGAACGAGTTCGAGAGAGCATTTCTCACGATGATGCTGTTGCCTTAGAAAACCATTATAGAAGACTTCCAAAAGATTATCGATTTGATGTGTGTGAAGTTTTCCAGTCTCATGTTTTAGTTTTGCTTGAAAGTCCGAAGAGAAAATGGACAAAGGAAAATATCACTGCTATTAAATTACTTCTTCACGATGATAGTTTAAATTGGCGTAGGGAAGAAGTTATTCAATCCTTAGAATTAATATCTGAGTCTAATACTTTCGAATTATTAAATATATTTCCGGAACTTTTAGATGATTGGTTCCGTAGTGATTTTACTGATACTAAAGAGAAAAAGATACCAAAAATATGTATTACTTGGTTTAAAAATCTTTTAGCCAAACTTGATACGAACACAAGCACTAGCACTAGCTCAAGAAAGTCTTCAAGTGAAAACAACTTTGTTTTTTCAGTATTTACACAATTAGAACGCATATATCCTTTGCTTGGTAACAGAAAAAATATTTGGCAGAATTTAACAACTATTGCAATAGAAAGGGTAAGACCGCGATCAGATCAAATACTTAGCGCAACGAAATTTTTAATTCACATAAAAGAACAAGATGTTAGAATGTTATTTTTAGATACGATTAAAGAAATATTAAATAAGGCTGTTCAACAAATTAATGATCAGTTAATAGCTAAGATATTTACGATATGCAATTGTACCCAAGGGAGGACTTTGGAGATTCCAGACTCGTAAGTTAAAAAAGCCTTATTTTCTTTCTTTTTTAATATTTACATACTTAATTAGATTATTTACAAATAAATTGTTAGGATGAGCGAGGACATTTTGTGTCATATCATAGCTAGATTGCAAAGCCAATCGACCGTATCTAATTCTTCAGAAAATCATTTAAATATTTTAGGAGCTAGTAAATTTTGGAACATTATATTACGCGCTACTGGGAATGTTGAGAAGCTTCATTCAAATGCATTTGTACAACGCGTTAAAATGTCTATCAATGAACTTGGTGGATTACTCCGTGAAAAGACAATTGATATACAATTACTTCAACAACTTTTAAAATATTCTGATGATCAGTTATTTAAACATTTTGATTCAGCTGTATCCAAAAAGAAAGCTTTAGGTGATGTAATTGTCTCTCGAGATGAAATTACAAAACTTAGAGAATTATGTAACAATTATCAACTTAAACTCAATACGCTTTTTAAGTTTTATTCCGGATTTTGTTCTGCTGCTCAGGTTACAGACGTAGATGATTACATTCAAGATATAAAACAACATATGCAGAATTCAAATAAAGTGAAGCTAAAACAAGTTTTATTATCAGGTTATTGGGCATTCCACGAAAAAACTTTGCCCAGCGCAGAACGTTGTTACAAGTTCAATCAATCTCGATCTTTTCGAAATATTTTTGAAGATTGTATTCAGGAAGATGTTGCTGCAACAACAGTAGAATACGTAGCACAAAAATTAGTACCAGCTGTTTTCGAAAGGTATAATATTATTTGTAAACAACTTAGAGATTGGGAAAAACTTAAATGTTCGGATGCGTCTTTGTTTTGGAAAGATGTCACGAATGTTAATGCAGAGCTCGATTTAATGGAAGGCTATAAAGGTCATAAAAACCAAAAACTTGTACAAACTCTTGATCATCTTTCAAAAATCCCTTTCTGGGTTGAACGACTTATGAAGTTAGAAAATGTTGTCGAAATTTTCGAAGTACCGCATATTGAAGATGATTGGCTAACAAAATCAATTCGTATTTTAAAAGATGATTCCATGAAACTTAGTCAATTAAATAATTTTTTCGATTACCTTGATAGAAATCTTTCCAATGTTAATCAAGATTGTTGGAAATTGTTAAAGGAGTTATCAGATGCTGAAGACTTTATAAACTTTTTAAAAGAAATTGCCGAGCATGATATTAAAAATTTGATTAATGGTGTTGATGATCATTCAGATGAAAGATTGATTCAAGAGGATACGGTTTCATCACTTATTCAAGTCAAGCAATTTTTATTACCTCTCATGAATAAAAATAAAATGGAAGATATTGCTAGTTTTTTGGTTGCACTATCAAATGTTATTAAGAAAAATTCTACTTTAGGGGAAAAGATCGCGTTGTGTAGTAGTAGCAATATGGCATTACGAAACATGTACAAGAACATTTCAAATCGTGGTGAAGTTACTAAAGAAAAAATTAAGAATGCCGTACTTGATGGAATTTATACTTTTGCTCGTGACGAAAAAGAAGACAAGTGTTATGTTTCATTAAAATACATTTCTAAAACTTCTAAAACTAATATGATGTATAATATGAATGAGATATTAGATTTACGCGGGCGAGCTCTTTTGATTGCAAAACCTAAGTTAAGCGAAAGTGATGTCAGAGAAGCGGAAATGTCAAAAATTGTTATGGATGAATTTGTTGTTCAAGTTGATATGGCACAAGAAATAATTGATATAGTGTCTATGTTAATGCAAATGGGGCATTTTAACTATAGAAAGTTTGAAAAAGAATTACAAGGAACAAATAAAATGAAAGATTATTTAAAATCCTTGAAGGACGAACTTGAAAAATGGTAAAATTGGCATTTACGTTATTATTATTTACATATATTGCAAAAAAGATTTTAATTAAATTCGATTTTACTAATTTATAGGCAAAATATAGTGGATCTTGCACAAGAACGGTGTTATTATCTAACATTTTTCCCGGCCCGTCATATTTTAGCATTCTTTGATTATTTCACATCGGAAGAATTAGATGAGAAGAATAAGGAAGAATGCAAAACATTGATTAGATTTGTAAATAGCAAAGCTCAATTGCCATCTCATAAGGATATTCAAGGAATTTCACGTGAATCCAAAGACTATTTTAGAATTCTTTGCGAAATTGGCAATGAATTAGAAAAAATTTTTATAAATATTCCAAAACAATCACGTAAACTTAAATCGACTGGACAACGCATAATTTCAGATTTAGTTAGAAAGGGTAAATTATTCGTCGCTTCTTGTACTGACAAAACACGAGTTCCAAACATTATCATGTCATTATATGCTAATCACGGTTATTATCCCGAACCGTGGCAACTCTTGATATGTACTTCTTCAACTACGATGGAGGAACTAACAATCTTCATAAAAAGAAGTTTATTCGCATCGAATAATGGATATGAAAATCACTTATTTTGTATTGCAAATTTAGAATTATTAGATTTTGAACTACAATATAATCTAGTTAACCAAATTAGATCAACACGAGATCAAAAGGATTATTTTTTGGCGCTTATTTGTTGCAGAGAAACTGGAATGCATCACCATATTTTGGATCAATTCTCTTCAGATGTTCATGCAACTAATGGCTTAAACACTGAAGCTATGAGGGGAATTTATAAGGAATTATGTAAGAATGTTGTACGTGTTTCTTCTGACTTATCAGGGCAAGGGAAAACTGAATGGATTAAAGAGAATAGTTTCAGTAAAGGGAAATTTATACGCAGCTTTTTAATAAGCGATGGTATGGAGTTTGGCAGGCTTGTACGTCAATTCAAGGAATATAAACCCCGACCTGTAGAAAGTTTACATATCAATATAATATCAGCAGACTATCCAGAAGACGTTAACATGTTCTTATTTGAGTTATTAACTTTGGGTATAGTTTCGACTAATGTCGATATAGTTTGCCTGCCTTTATCAGAAAAACCTACTTATATTTATATTGAAGTAGCCTCAACTACAGAACAACATTTACTTAATTCTCTTCCTATGACAGGATATTTATTGTTCAATCATTTAACTTGGAACATTAAGAATTTGAGAGTTTCTCAAGAAATTCATAGTCCAGTTCAAGTTACCTGTAATTATCTGAATCTATTGAATAATAATGAAGTAGATACAAGAGAAATCCTTTTCAAGACAAATAAAGCGATTAAAGAACCTTTACCAGCAGACCGCTGTCAAAATCTCATCGAGAAATATTTCTTTAATAAAGATGCCAAAGATATTTCTTCATTTAGATTTGTTGAAATATTTGTTAATGTCCTTGCAGATCAATTAGTTCGATTATCATCAAGTCAATTCTTTACTGTAGACAATCTGAAGTTAATGGTAAAAGAAAATAAAATTAGAAATTTAATAGTAAGAACCTTTATAGATGTTTCGAAAGATTTTGCAACTAGATCTATTAAAACTAAAGCGGCACAATTAGAATCTATAACTGCTGAAGACGAAAATGCTCGTCTTGGTACAATCGTTCAATGGGATGACTCAAATCATCTTATAGTATTTTTCAATTCTCAAACTCCTGATACAATATCATCTTTATATCGGGACAGAACAAAAGTTCATGATAATGTTAAGATTTTATTAAAAAGTCAAATAATTGGAGATCAAACAAAATGGGAATTAGATGATTATAATTCGATGTCTGCAGAAGCTCTTTTTGTAAAATTAGAATGCTTGGCGCGAAGGTCAATAGGAAAACTAAATCTTCCCGAGTATGCCTTATCTAGTGATAATTTAATAAAGATGGCCTTAATTCTTTTAAGGGCGCGTGCAAACATTCCAGTCATAGTATGTGGTGAAGCAGGATGTGGAAAGGTACTTTTTTTTTAATCATTTTATCATATTTTATCATAAAATAAGTATTTTTTATAAATATTTCATTTCATTTTTTTGTTAGACGAGTTTAATTGCCTATTTGGCCTTGATAGTTGAAGTTCAATTTCAGGCTCTTAACCTTCATGCGGGAATTGACGAAAAGACTATTATGATGTTTATGAACGATGCTTTGAAAAAAGCAGAAAAAGGCGAGATTTGGTTATTCTTTGATGAAATCAATACTTGCAACCATATAGGTTTACTTGCTGATTTAATATCCCATCGCATGCTCAATGGCAAACTTATACATCCAAATATTCATTTATTCTCTGCCTGTAACCCATACCGTATTCGTACAAGAACTCAAAGTGAAGCTGGTTTGACAAATAAGGTCAAAAAGTATGAAGAACAAAGTAGCCTTGTTTATCAAGTCAAACCACTTCCTGATCAAATCTTGGATTATGTGTGGGATTATGGTGTTTTAAAACCAGATGATGAATATAAATATATTCAAATTATGGTTGAAAAAGAATTAAAAAAATTAGCACATCCTGTATTTGCAGAACTCTTATACTCTTCTCAAAGATTCATTCGTAAAGTTGAGGAACCATATAGTGTGAGCTTACGTGACGTCAAACGCGCTATAACGTTAGTGAAATTCTTTTATAATTCTCTCGAAAATCGTCCAATCTATAGAAAGGGACATAAATATCCACCATCTGGAAATCCAACCACAATAACTAGATCTTATGTTTTAGCACTTAGTCTTTGTTACCATTCTCGGTTATATGAACAAGATTTACGTAAAAAATATCGTCGTGAAATGGGGCAAATATTACAAAATCACAAGGCTTATATAGGGGAACATATGTTTGCCAAAATTATTCGCGAAGAACAAGAAGATTATATTAATAGGATGCAATGTCCACCTAATACAGCGCATAATGAAGCTTTATTAGAAAATGTTTTAGTTATGATTGTATGCATTTTGACACGAATCCCACTGTTTCTTATAGGGGCACCTGGCTCTTCAAAATCTTTAGCAATTCGTCTTATAAGCTCAAATTTACGTGGATCTGATTCAAATGACAAATACTTTAGAAATTTACCACAGATTTACTTAATTCCACATCAAGGCTCTTCATCTTCAACTTCTGATGGTATTATAAAAGTTTTTGATAAGGCAAATAAATATCAAGAAACAACTTCCAAGCAATTTCCTGTTATTAGCGTTGTTTTACTTGATGAAGGTAATTGTAATTTTTATTTGTTTACTTGTGACCCTTTTTTATTAAAGTAGTTTAAATTATTTATTGTTGGATATTTTTTTTTTATTAGTCGGTCTGGCTGAGACAAGTCCTTTCAATCCACTAAAAGTACTTCATTCTTTGCTTGAGCCAAGTTATCCAGCCACAGGGCCTACTGTTTCGGTGATAGGAATATCTAATTGGCGCTTAGATAATAGTAAAAGTAGCCGTGCATTACTTGTTCAGAGGTATAATTTTTATAAAATACGTATTTAATTATTAGCTTTATTTATTTATAATTATTATATTAATTTTTTTTATAGACCACAATTTGATTTGGATGATTTAGTTGATACTGCTGAACGTTTATTAAATACAGAATTTATTGGACCCGGACAAAGAGGCGCTTTAGAACCTTTAGCTAAAGCATATTCAGATTATGAAAAAGAAGGTCAAGCTTTACCTAACTTTCATGGACTTCGTGATTATTACGCGTTGGTCAAACAGCTTTCATTAAATGAAATGACTCCGGAGAATATTCAAATGGCGTTAGCCCGTAATTTTGGAGGAACAGGAAATAATGCCAAATTATGTGAAAATTATTTTAGAGATGTTCTTAAAATGTTTAACGACCATAAACCGTGGTTCTATAAACCAATTCCAATCGAACAATTGATCAATTCAAATTTAGATGATTCGGATGCGCGTCATTTGATGGTTATTGGTAAAAGTGATTCGATTGTAAATTTATTGACTTATCAATTAAGAAGGAAAAAGTTGGATCCCGTTGTGATTTTAGGATCACAATTCCCTGATGACCGAGAGGATTATTCCTACAGTGTTTTGAGAAGGATCATGGTAACTAATTTACAATTTAATTTTTATTTTATATTTCGTTTCATTTGATTAATTTACGTTATCATTTAGATGTGTGTTGAAGAAGGCAGACCATTGATTCTAACAGATTTGGAAATAATTTATGGTAAATTCTTTTATTTGATATCCTAAATATAATAATCAGAATAAATAATTTATTTTATGTCAATTAGGGAGTCTTTACGATTTATGGAATCAGAATTATATTGTAGTGGGAAGCAAAGAAAATGTCAAATATTTTACACGAGTTGCACTTGGAGCGTATGCCAACCCTATGCTGTAAGTAATTATTGGAACTTAAAATTTATATTTGAAAATTGTTTGTCTAATTAAATAAATCAATTATATTTTTTTTTAATTCGCAATTTTTAGTTACGTTTCACCACAATTTAAATGTATCCTTGTTATGGATGAAAAGAATTTGGCTTCCGCTGATCCCCCACTTCTTAATAGATTTGAAAAACAAAAAATGTCAATCAATGACACGCTCAATGAAAGGCAAAAATCACTTGTCGAAAATTTAAGCGATTGGGCAAAAAGAATGTCAACTTTGACTGGAGTTAACCCAGTAACACAATTAAATAATAGATTTACTCAAAAAGATTTATTTATCGGATTTGATAAAGATGAAACCTTACAAAGTTTAGTTATCGATGTTACCAAGAATAATTCTGACGCTAGTGATGAAGATATTTTAAATGAATGCAAAGAATGTTTAATCGCAACAGCATCTTCTGATGGAATGGTGAGAGCTGAAAGATCGAATTTAGAACGAGATGAAGTTGATCGATGGAAGCATGTTTATTTTAATCAACAACATCATGATAGTCTTTACGATTATTTTGATTACTTTATTAATCAAGAAAAATCATTGGCAGATCCCAATGGACATTTAGTGATTGTCAACACATTCTCCAATATTAATACGGATGTTAAGTCTTGTTTACAAGAATTTTTAAGTTGTCAAGTAGATAAATTGTCGACTTTCAAGACCGAAGCACAACTTTCAAATCGGGTAAGTCAGAACAATGATTTGATTTGTAAATATGTTTCTTTACTTATTAAATGTTATATTTTTGTAGGTAAAACATTTCTGGTTAGAATCAACTGACAAAATGTTAATTCTCCAATGTGATGTAACTACTGTTAATGCTGGATGTATTAAATTAGCTAAATTCATTATTGAACAATTCCGAAACGAATTCATAACAAAGAAAGATAAAATGGAGCAGAAGCATGCGTGTATCATTCTTCATATTCATCGAGATCAGGAATCCACTTTAGCGTCTTTCAATTTTATGTGTGGTTGGAAGCAAGTGACTATTGAAACATTATCAAGAAACGAAATTCCTACATCAAGTCTCTTGGATGGATCACTATCTTATATAATCAATTCTGCTTATCCGTTCGAGAAAATTTTACAACAAGAACTATTATGGTGTTTATTATGTATGAAATATCCGTCTAATGATAAGTCAATCAAGCATATAAAGTACGTATTTGTTTCTAACGTTGGAAAATTTATTTGTATATCTCATCTTATTAAAAATCGTTGTTCTGCTTATGAACTGTTGAACCTTTTTCTTTAGGTTATTAAGCGAAAAAATATTGGAGTATCCAAGCTTTATTAAATGTTTGAAAGAAAGAACACTTGAATGGATCGAAGAAAAATCTACAAATGATTGGCAATATAAAGTAGCGTCAAATAAACAAAGTTTATATCCATACTCCTCATTCTCTGCAGCACTACAAGCTCATATTAGAATACTGGTCAGAAAACCGATAGCACAAATTTTTTGTTCTTTAGAAAGATTATCAGCGACAAAAACATTTTTCTTTATCGATGATCAAATAATGTCGAAGGAAAATTATGAGGAATTACTCAAGTTTTGGCAACAAATTTATATGGATAAGAAGATCGTCAAAATTGATGATTTACCAAATCCAAAACCTGATGGATATAATATGGCAGCAGGAAGTTTATTTGATCTTAAATTTCCTTTTTCATTTTATTTTATGAAACAAATTGATGGTTTTAAAAGGTATTATGAAGAGGAAGTAGCAATGTTACAAAAAGATGATGATAGAGTTGATGATTACGTAATTGAGAACCATTTGAAAGATTTCAAAGATAATATTCTTGCATCAATTCCTCAATTAAAAGATTCTCTTCTTGAAAGGTTTTCTGAGTTATATTTCAATGACTTCGTAACTGTTATTGCAGCAGATGATAGTGGAAATAAGAATACAAAATTGTTAGCAATAATTCTCAAGTTACTTATTGGTACTGATAAAGTGAATCAACCAATTTTCCTTCATACTTATTGGTGGAAGAATGCTAACGAAGTTTTAGCTCAATTACAATTGGCTCAAATGTCTCCAGTAATAATTAAAAACATCGAAATCCAAGGCAATGCTATAATTAAAGGAAGTGTAGAAAAATATCTCGTTAAAGAAGTGGCAAAGATAATGCTCCGACGAATTTGTGGAAGTTTTGAAGGCGCAGCAAATGCTCATTTAATCGATAAATGGCAGCATGACGTCACAAAAGTATTATCTCTTGGCAGTAAGATAGCGCGAGCAAGGAACTTGCCTGATCTACAATTGTTACGTATCGTAAACGATTTAGTTGCAACAAAAACGATTCCTTTAGATAGTGTTAGAGAGATTGTTCAACTTGGATTAAGTTCAGACGAACAAGAAATTCTCTCAGAGGAATTTGTCGGAACTGTCCTTGATAAACTAGATAAATTAGATCATAATGAAAAGAATTTAATTCCAAGAAGATCATTTATCATGAGATGTCTTGCATTGATTCCAATTGAATCAAATGTCCGATTAAGTCTTTATAAAAAATTATTCTCAAATGAACCTTTTCCATTGATGGGCGCAATAATTGAAAGAATCTTCCTTAAGGAAGATTCAGAAAATGAAGATACATTCTTTACAATAATTACGGATTCTGAAGAAGTTTTAAGACAATCAGCTCGGCTAAATATTATTAATGATTGTTTAAAAGATCTGGATACAAACATGGCTACTTTATGTTGTGATGTCATTGAACAAACATTTTATATAAATGAAGAATTGGAAAACTTATCAGCTTTTTTTGTACCGGCCCTTGAAGCTTTATATAGACAAGGAAGACCACCATTACAAAAAATAGCTTCTATTGCCTTACTTAAAGAATTTGTTCGTCGATTTTGGGACAATTTTCTTCAGGAAGATAAAAACAGTCCTATTGCATATAAAAGAATGGAGGAAGAAAATTTTGATAGTGATGAACTAATCGATCAAATTAACAACAGCATGAATTTGGCTCATCCTATGATTATTTCTCTCAAATTTTACTTTTTAAGAGATTTATGTCAAAGAGACTTTTCGATTGATGATATTAGACGATTTTGCGAAGCTCAGAGAAGAATTTTACCTTGGCTTGGAACTTTAAATTGGGAGGATACTAGAGAAAACCGGTTATCTTTCAATCCCTATTGTAATTTACCCGAATATAATGAAGTAGAAAACAGCTTTATGACTTTCTATAGTATAGGAAATAGGGGGCCTTTCCAAACATTCATACAAAACATAAAACAAACAATGGCTTTAACAGCTAAAATATCTTTAATGGGACTCTTATTTGTACGTCTTCATGTTTTGAGGGCTTCGAGAGAATGGCGACACTCAGAAACACAATCAGCCGATTTCTTGACCAAAGAACTTTCTGAATTAAATCTTCCGGATAAATTTAAAACAATTGCAACAAAAATCTTGTCAAATAAACAACCTTTACTTAAAATTAATAATCCGGGGATTGATAATAGCGATTTATTGTTAAAATCAGTTATTGCACACATTATCGCACTTCATTCATCAGTTGAACCGAATACATCTCAACTATCGATGTATTTACACAAATTACAAGAATGCCAGAATCTCTTTATTTTAACGTGCATTTCTGATGTAGAGTCCGTAGTATTAAATGCAGTTGCTGCTGCTGAACAAACGAATACAAATAAACTTACAAGATATGTATGTAAATGCGGATATAAATATTTCGTTGCGGGTTGTGGTAATGTTTATGTTTCTAGTAAATGTCCAAAATGTGGAAATAAAATTGGCGGAGATACCTACAATAAGCCAGCAGAAGGAAACACTAGACTTGACGCTCAGCCAATTGCCCAAATGTCGGCAAACGATCAAGCAGGATATATTGGAGAACCAGTTAATCATGATTTGTATCATTCCGTCAGATCTTTACCACCTACATCATATCGTATCTTACACTTTATTGTTCATGTTCTTATTGGAGCATCTACACCTCAACCTGCTTCTACTTTCCTTCAAAAAAACAACCAAAACGCCACAGATCCTGAAAAATATTGTATGGATCATATTCGAAGTGATTGGGAAGTTCTAAAAAATCTTCTTAATTGTACAGATATGGTAAATATATATACATATTTTTTTTGTTATTTCATTTTATCTTTATTAAAATAAATTATTAACCACTAAAATATATAACCAGAATTTGGCGCTAATGTTTCACTCATTAATATCTTCAATGACTGAAAAACCTCCAATGCCGAATCAACAAACAAGAACATCTGCTGAACGTGAGAGATGGGAAACAGAATTCCATAATAACTATATCACACCACACACCAAAAATATAACTGAAACAGTAGCAAATTATCGTATGAAATTAAGTGAAGCTTTAACCAAAAATAAGAAGAATAATATAATTGAAGGCGAAATCAATCAGACTTTAGTTATGGATAAACATTATCGAAGTGAGAATTTGCCAACTTTATGGAGAACGATTGGAATAATTAATTTCGATAGCTTCCGTGCTTACTTTATGAGCGATTTGACAAGAAGCAAAAATTATCCATTCCTCTCAGTATTTTTCAAATATTCTGGACAGTTGGAGTTACTTAAACATCTTTTGCCAATTATAAAATTTGTTCAAATTTTAAATTCCAAGCTTGGATACCAATTAACAAGACAAAAGGCAAGAGAAATGACTTTCAGACAATTTATAGAAAAAGAATCTAATGAAGGCGAAAATCATGAAATGTTCAACAGTTTGAAAACTGCTTTTGACGACTTTAAACTTGGTTGGGATACGGTAATACCTTCGGTTGGACGATACCAATGTCATCAACTTCCAAATGATAAACCTATCATGAGTTATAATCTTCCAGTTGTTTTTGGATTGATGGAACCGAAAGATGCGGGAATTTTCTTATGCGCAATTTTAGATTATTTAGTTAATTTACAAAATAACTTCTTGAAAGAAGTTATCGAAATCCCACCCGGAACTTGTAAATCTCTCAAATTTTTAGACGAACCCCAGTTTGATGTCGAACGAACTGGTTTGTCAACACCAAAAGCAAAAGCAAAAACGGATACACCAAATGGATATTGTCTTCAATCAATGCGTCTTGATCATGCTCGTTCAGTAAACATTATAAATTTCGATTGGGATGACGAAATTCTTGCATATAGTCAAAGAAATTTAGCAGTTGCAAGAGGAGATGATATTGTCTACGATTTGACAAAAATTGAAGCTGAGTTGGCAAATATTTTAGTTTTTGAAAAAGTTCTTATAGAAACTCAGCCAGAATCCCAGTTGTATCTAGAACCTTTCCCATATCATATGGAATTATTCCAAGGATGTATGAGAATTCTTAGTGATATTAAGAATTTAATAACCCAAGAGCCAATCCCACCTGAAAAAATGAGTTTGTTAGGAATTTCTAATACATTTAATTCATTTATGTATCCACATGCTTCAGAATCAATTATAGATGATGCATCGGAAATTTTGTCATCATTGGAAATTCTTCTCTGCTTTGTCAAACGTACAGCAGTTGGAGACGGAGATAAATCCATTAAGGAATATATTTCACAATGGATGAAATTATCATCATTGTCCGAACATGCAGGATTCTCTAGAATCCTAAATGTTGATTTACGACTTAAACATTTGGTGGCCTTATACGAATTCGTTGAGGATCAAGTTGCCAACATTAAAATTAAGTATATTCATGAAAAATACAGGGCTCCTCTTTCACCAGATATGAAGACCGCAATAAATAAATCTGTAGATTTTGAACAACAAACTACAAAGAAAGAACAACTTATACCAGCAGAAGCGTTCGCTTTAGCATTAAAACGATTCATGTTACGATTTTTAACTTTAGAAAATCAAAAAGAAATGGAGCCATTATATGTTTATTTACAAGATAGCTCATTAAATTTCTGGCCACCAAATATACCAGAAAATCTTATTGATAATTTATTCCCAGAAAGTTTATTGGTGGCTAACACGTATGATGCTTATGAATTTACAATTAACAAAATTGAGGTAAGAATTTTTTATAAATTTGTTTATAAATATATATTTTACTAATTTTAAATTTTCTTTTTAGCAAATGGCGAGGAGACAGCCTAACGTTCCGATCATCAATCCAACTATCCATTCTCAACGAATGCCTATAATTAACAAAGCTACTCGATCAAGAAAAAACAAAAATTCTAAATTTGATGCAATGTAGATACTATTATATTATTTTTATTTTATTTTACTTTATTTTAATTTATTTTATTCAAATTATTAAATTTATTACGGGAGCTTTCATTGTTTTCTTGATATTTATCTACTATAGTATTATTTCAAATAAATAAACAAATTTTCAGTAATGTGAATATTATATTATCAAAAAATTTAAAATGTGTATTGGATTAGTTTATCAGTAACTGATGATCTAAAATTTGAATAAATAATAGGCCGATTTTACATGGACATTTTAAAAGTGCCTTTTATGAATTTCAATGACTTGTCACGAAGCAAACTTTGATTTTAGTAATAGTTTTTAGTAAAATCGCGTCTATTGCTGGGACACACTGATTGGTAAGGTGTCCAATTTCGAGTCTAGGGTTGTAGGGTAACTACGCTCTTACTTCATATGTTACGACGTATTTGACTGTCCGCAATCTTAGTCGAGTCTCTGAACTCAATTGTACTTGTGATCTGTTTGTATTATTTTTATTAATGTTTAAGGTTTACACAGAAAGCTGAAATTATTTCAGATTGAATCTGAAGATGTAAAAAATATACTTTCTTGACCGAAGAATTTGATCACAAACCGAAAGTCTCGATTTGGAAAAGGCTAGAAGATGGATTAATTATTTGTGTTTAATATACTTTAGGGTAAATTACTTTATGTTAGAAAGAATATGACTCCTAATTAGAAAACAAAAAATTAATTAATGTAGAATGATGTAACAAGCATAATTATTAAAAAAAAAAAATACTTTCTCGGAACAATAATGCTTTTTTAGTAGCACAGAAAAACTTTATTCTCAGTTAAGGAACATATACACAAATATACATATGTTTTGTGATTTTTAATTTTATATATGAAACATCAAAATAGGTTACAAAGCTCTAGTCCATAAAACAGAATGTAAAGCATAATTATTTTGATTCACATCAGGCTTTATCAACGTATGCTTATATGTAATAATCTATATCGATACATACAGTATATTCGTGAATTTTGTGCAACTCTGATATGTTTTGAGCATAATTATATGTACAATTGGTATATAAAAATTACGATATTCGAACAAACGCGTCTCCAGAGTGAGACGCTTGGCTGAAGCCCTGTTGATCCGTAGTTTATATTTCCATGTTTTATAGCCTCCATCTCTCTAACACGGATATCCGTGAATGTATCATTTTCACGGAATTTCTACGAAAGACATGGAGAAATAATGGAAATATTTGGATAAAAATTTTTTTATAGGGAAGGGATCAAGTAAAGATGTTAAACCGATAATGGGCGCTCCGCACATGACTTTGAAAATCCGAAGCTGTAAACCCGTAATTTGTGAGCGAATTCATTTATAGAGCACATGTTTGTAAGAATCCTCACATGATCAAAATTATCATGTGCGCTAAGCACCTATAGGTTTCGCACCCTCACAAACTTCTACATTGCCTATTGAGAACCATTAAAATGATTAAATGCCATTAATTATTTAGATATTATTGAATTTTCATTGCCTATTCTCCAACTTAACCGCATAGCTAATAAAATTGTATTACTAACAAACTGTAAATCTGTAATATGTTATATTCATATTAAATGCTCTGGAGAAACTTTGACACTTTTCCGGATGATAACATGATAAACATCATGTGGCAATCGAAGGTGCTGTACAGTATCTCTATTACAGTAAATTAATTTTAGGATTACTTTGAATGCGACAGGTTTAATATTCAGATTATATTTTTTTTTCTTGTAATATCATGTAATGCAATCCATTATATTCACAATTTTTTTATGTATTAGCTGCCTCAGCAACACTTTGTGCATAACTAATAAATATAACTAGCTATATAAAAATCAAGGTCAAGAAGACATTTTTTGAATGTTTAAATCAATTGAAAAGGATGAAGAATGGGCTAGACAACTACTTACTTGGATTCAGGATGCAAGAGATCCTGGCTAAATGGTTTAATGCATTCCTAAAAAATACAATTTGCTTCCTTCTTATTTATGTAAAATAGGAGCAGTATACTGTATGTGGAAATAACAAATGAATCTAAAAATTTATTGAATTCTATGACTATTGCCGGGCAGCCGGGACATATCACAGAAAATAATACCTCTCCTTCGCAAAATTACACTAGTCAATTTCAGGCTGAGAGGGCGGCATATGATCAAGCAAAGCCATTTCAAATCTTTGATGAAAACTAATCGCATACTTTGATCCTTTTTCTTCACATATACTCAGAAAAAGAGACCAAAGGAGCGGAGTAAAAAATTGCCAAGAAATTTCTGAAGCAGCATGTCTCAGAAAATTTAGCAATGAACCTGTCTCCAAATTTGCCAAGAAAAATCAGTTATTTATATAGTATTGATAATTTATTTTTGCGATTGAGATTTTCTCCTTCAATCTCAGGAGATAACACGATAATTTTTTTTTCCTATATAGTGTAGTATTCTTTTACCCTAGCCCTCCTGTTCACACTAGACTTATCGGCACATGCCCTATCCTTCAACAAACCTACAATAACCCCCAATACCCTCCTTATACTTTTACGCAATGTTTGATATTCTTCAGAGTCCTCATTCAAAGCTTCTTCAGTAAATTCGATGGTATATGGTAATTTACTACCTTGAAAGATCTTGTCTGAACTATTTAACAAAAAAATCCAATCTCTCCCTGTTGTGACTATACCAAAGAGGTAGTCAAAGTCACCATCCTCCTTACCCTTTTTATTCATTTTTAATGAACTCTCAAGCTGACGGATGTTATGGACCATACTCTTGGGAATTTGGTTTTGTTTGTTGTCCACTGTAACACAAACCAAGTACTCGGAATCCTACAAAGAAAATAATAGTATCAGTAACTCCAAATTTCTCCAAGGAAATCAAAGTAGAATGAATAGTGATTGCATAATCAACTCGCCCAATACTTTCTTCTCCGAGCATTTCACACTGAGACCTCATGCTGAATTCCTTTTGTGTGTCAACTCTGGCAATATTGAGTGCTGCATGAAGTATTGCCGCGACATATTCATTGCGCATGAATTCTAAACTGTCCACGAACAAAGACCCATAATTTTTAAGCCTAACCATAATCTCTGTCATGCAATTAACAAAATGCTTGTCAGAGTCTTGGATCTCACAGGTCACTCTGGCTTAAAGGAGAAAGAGGCATCATTAAATTGTGTTGTCCATAAATAATATACATAAACAAAAGTCTTACCTAGTTTAAACAGAGGAATTGCTTCTATGCTATTACCATCGAGTTTGTACTTTCTCAATAATTCTCCCAAGATGTTACGCGATGAAAACGTTTTAAAATGATTCTCTCTTAGTTCCTCAACGAAGTCTGCAAGTTCGACCGCCGGCCCTAATGGCAGTCTTATGCTTAAAAAATCTAATTTTGTCAGATTGAGAAAGGCACGTCCACTAATATGTTGATTATTAAAAATTCCGTCCCACTCGTGTCTATTAAGATGTATGTCATCCCGATCTTTTAAAAATTTGAGAAGTTCTCGCTGATCCATCTTTTTGACAACCTGGGCTAACGTGTGAGCGTGTTTATCTTCCGTTGCCGTAGAAGTAGATGCAAATTCTGACATATCGCTTCGGATGAAAATAGCGTTAGCGTTAGGGTTCGGATAAAAAAATAGTGATATTTTTATTTTTTATTTTAAGATATAGACGAGTACTGAAAACAAGTAGACGCTATACTAATTAAAAGATAGACTACAGTTCACCCTCACTATAACGAATTTTTGTATAATGAATAACTTGCTATAATGAAGAAAGCCCCAATATAGATTTCTTATAATCAATAATTTTTGATATAGTGAATTTTTATATCAAACCCTTTGTAATTAGAATTTAAATGTCAACAAATATAATAAAATGACCATTGCTAATAGCAGATAACGAATTTTTAAAGAGTTACACAGATCATTATCGCCGTTTTCAAATTAGTGCGACCCCCTGTGTGTCACCCCTAAGGAAATCAATTTCCAAAAATTTGCGAAAACCCAGAATTTTCCTGAATAACTATGTGGGAAAAGGTCAATTATCAGGGAAATTCTCAGTTATAAAGGTAGTTTGCTTATAAAAAAGTGTTTATGTTACACAAAGTTTTATCACTCAAACTATTTGAATGATTGAAAATTTCCTGAGATTTCCTCCAGAAATCACTAGCAATCGGACATTTCCTACAAAGTTATTCAGAAAAATTCAAGGTCTTCCACATTTGCGAAAACCAATTTCTTTAGGGAGTGACATGCAGGGGGTCGCACTAATTTGAAAATAGCGATAATAAAATTTTATCACATGATACTTGTTATACGCACAATGTTAAAAATTCATGTTTTTTTTTTTTAATTCCACAGCGCATTTACACTCTTATCGCTGTTTTCAAATTAGTGCAACCCCCTGCATGTCACCCCTAAGAAAATCGGTTTTCCCAAATGTGGAAAACCTGGAATTTTTCTGAATAACTTTGTAGAAAAGGATATTATATTATTAATGAATTTTAAGATAATAATATTTAAAGAAAATAATAATACTATAATAAGCAATGATATGTATGATGTTTACAAAAATATACTTAAAAGTCATTCTTTGCCAACACTAATACCAATACTAAGTTAATAATGAGAAAAATCCAAGTTCCTGCGCTTGAACAAAAAAACTTAATAAATCTAATAATACTAATGATGCTATTAATGGTAGGGCCATAGGGGTAAGATGCATATTACCAAAGTGAAGAATTTTATTATTTTTAATAAAAATTTGCAAAATTTTTGTTTATACAAACAAATTTTTATAATATAGAATACAAAATTAAATTTAATCAATAATAAAAATTCACCTTTTTACTCATATACCGATCTCCGCAGAATTTAGTATAAAAATTGTAAATATAATCAGCGATCATTTAATAAGATTTTATTCAATTCGGCTAATTAGACCAAAAATTTTTAAAGAACTGTAATAAAAATAAAATTTTGTACAAAAAAATTTTTTTTTGAAGAACTTTCAATAAAAATTTGTACAAAAAATATTTTTTTGAAAACTTACAATAAAAATTTTTGTTAATTCAATAATAAAACAAAATTTTTAAACTTTTTAAATTATCCAAATTTATGAAAATTTTATTTGTATTCTAATTCCATAATTTTATCTTTCTAAATATTATATATACTGAAAATATATATTATGATACTAATGCATTTTTTGGAGACAATATTAAATATTGAAAACTCATAAAGTAGTATGTGATGTATCATGTATATGTTGGATTATTTGATAAATTGACCAGTAATACTAGCTTTATTTTAAGTTTAATTTACTTTATATATTAAAAATATTAAATGTATAATTTTCTTTTATAGTATATATATTATATTTTAAAGTAAAATTAAGCTTAAATAAAGCTATATATATCTAAAAAATTATTACAAAACCAGAATTATAAAGTTAAAGACAAAATTTTGGTAAAAATTTAAAACAATAGTATTATTAATTTATTATATAAAAAATGGTAACTGGATTTGTTACCAGATTATATATGATCTGTGCATATAATTTAAATGATATTTTTCACAATTATACTTTGATCAAAATAATCTGAATGATTTCAGTAAAATAAATATTTGCAATTTTATTACTTATTATAATAAATTATTAAAGTATTTCTTTTACTAGTAATAAATTATTAATATTATAATTATTAACTTTCTTAAAGTAGTTTTGTTTTAATTATTTTGATACTTTATATACCTACATATCATTAAACATGATACAATGTTATTTTCAATACATTGTATTATAATTTAGTGCTTTAATATTATCATTTATTATCTTTTTAAATTTGGCCAAATATTTTTTTAAGAATAAATATAAAAATTGCAGGGTGCGATAGTTTTATATACTGCTTTTAATAAATATATTGTATTACTATGTGAAATTTATCTCTCTTACAAAATTATTATTAGGCAATGATTACTAATTAAATCACTGATGTGATTATGTAATAAACTGATTTATTTATTTACTTCTTGTGAAACTTTTCTTTTTATGAAACTTTTTTTCTTTTTTACCTTTTTTTCTATATAAACTTTTCTTTTTATGAAACTTTTTACCTTTTTTTTGTAAATCTTATTCTTTTTGTGTAAGTATCTTTACTTCATGTAAAACTTTTATCTTTCTGTAATTTTCTCTTTAATTATAGAATTATTACATCATTATAACATATTTTTCACATCCTATTCTTATTGATAATGATATTTTCAATAATCCTGTTATTATTATTGGTAAAGATGAAGATGAAAATATTAATGATAAAATTCCTGATAACATTTAAGATCAACTAGATACTGATGAAACACAAGTGAAAATTGCTAATGAGGATATTAGCCTTGATACAACTTTTCTTTTCTGAAAAGAAGTGAAAGATTTCTTAAAAGATTATGGCCAATGTAATAGATTTGCAATAACTAAATATCATATGAAAAAAAATAGATCTATGCAATTAATTACAAAAAGGATATTTATATGTAAATTTGATGGTAAATTTAAATTAAAAAAATCAGAATCTGCTTTGCAAATAGGAAAATAGCAGAATACTAAAACCAAAAAATGTCAATGTTCTTAGCATATAAATTTTACTTTTTCAGAACGTGCTATTTGTATCACTATTAGTTTATTCACAAATCAACATAATTATGAATTAAGACCAAATACTTTTGAATTCAATAGTAAATATAGAGAATTTACAAAAAAAATGATAAACGAAATTGAAATAATAATTAAATATGGTAATCTTTTAATTACTTTATAACGAAATTTTCTAAAAGCAAGATTTTCAAAAATGAATTATTCAGATTCGAACTTATTAAATGCCATACAAAAGTTCAAGTCACTTGATTGTAGTAATATGCATAATAATGCATTTGATCTTCTTATCAATCTTATCTAAAAGAAGCAGAAGGATTCTCAGTTCTTTGTTAAATTTGAACTTGATAATGATAATTAGCTTACCCATCTATTTTAGATGATTCCTGAACAAGTTATACTCTGAATCAAATATCATGACATTATCATCAATGATAATACAGCAAAAACAAATATATATAATATGCCTTTAAATGTATTTGTTAATGTGGATAATAATAGACATACAAGATTACTTGCACAAGCTATTATTAGTGACAAAACATTTGAAATTTACCAATGGATATTATAATGTGTATTGCAAGCTACTGAAAAACAACCTTTAGTATTTTTTACTAATGCCAACACAACTATGAACACTGCTATACTGCTGCTATACCTGTTCAATTTCCAAATAGTTATCATGTACATTGTATATATATACCATATTGGACAGAATTTACTAAAAAATTTGAAAGGCAAATTAGAACAATATTATAGTGACTTTATTAAAAACTTTTACAAATGTCGTAATAATCTGTGTAAAGTTTTATTTATTGCACAATAGAATGATTTACTAGAGAAATTCCTATTAACTAAAGATTATCTTCTTAGAGTACTATGGCTATTAAAGAAATCATAGGCACACTGTTACTTGTGAAAAATATTTACAGCTGGTATTAAATCTACTTCATTCATGAGTTGAAAGAATGAATGCAATTATTAAAAAAACAGTCAAAAGCAATTCAACCTTATGTCATCTTATTGATAGTTTATCTGAAAGGCTTACTTCAAAACTTTAATGGAAGAGATTTCATAAATATCAATCTGCAATTACAAATTCAATTTTATTATCAATAGGAGATAATCTTTTTCCTTCAATAACTGAGATATTAGAAAAGTATTTAACAATAAATATAGTTTCTATTATTAAAGAAGAAATGTCACAATGTTTATATTTTCAAGCAACTATAATTTCTTTTTCTGAAGTAGATTTTATTCAAGATCAAGTAAGTAAATTTTAGAGTTAGGAGTTGGAATTAAGGAGTTAGAATTCAGATTAGGGTTAGGGTTAGGATTATGGTAAGGGATAAGGTTTTATTTGTTATAGTTCATAATGCATTAATCATATTTCTTTTTTTTTTAGGAAATGGAAGAACATGAAAAGATAATTATAATGTACAGATAATTAAATTACAATTAATTATTGATGAAATTCATAAAGAGGATATTAAAGATATCTGGAAAATTTGTGATATCCGACCTGAAAAGAGACTTTTTTCATTACATTGTAATTTCTCCTTTTTATGTTCATGTTTAACTACAATTTCAAAAGGATCATTTGCTGTCATTATTTTCGCGTAATGATATCTTCAATAATTGCAGGTTTTCATATTTCAATGATCCCAGAAAGATGGTATCAAGATTCTTATCTAGGAATGGACTTATCTCAAGAAAATAATTTAGTATTCGCATATGAAAAAGAAACTACTGATAATACTGATTCAGATAATATTCTTCTATTACGCAAAGAAATCACTATTCCAAAATGTGCTCCTCCAATTTTAAAGAAAGCTATTGATAAAAAAACAAAATATGGGATGTTATGGGAATGGCTTGTGAAGCTACTTTACTTGCTTTGGAATTTAATGACAATGAAATGGAAGTTCTATTAAAAGAATATATTAATAAGAGAAAAAGACAAAGAGGATTAAATTTGGTAAATGATGATAGTAACATTCAAAAAGAGCAATCAGATAATAATACACTAATTAATGAAGAATATGAACATCATGAACTTAAAAACATTCAAAATCCATTAAGAATAAAACTAAAAGAGCCGATTTCCCTGCAAAAAAAAATAATAATTAAAATAAACATTTTTTTTATTAAGTTTTGAAAATATGAAACTTTACCTGTAGATTTGGCCAAATCGGAGCCCCGCACTTTGGTGTTCTGGACCTACAAAGTGTTCTGGACCTACAAAATTAAGAACGAACGTTAAGGTTGGCCTCCAACAAAACGGTTCAAAAGTAGTGTTGAAATTGAAAAAAGTGATCATAATGCAAATGGTGGATCTTCGTATATGTGGGGCTGGTCATAATGCAGTATATCATAAAAATAACAAACTTAAGGAACGTGTAAGCAATTAATTATCTTGTATAAATTTTAATAATTTTAATAGTGATATTTTATTGCATCACCGGAATATATTTTTTTTTATAAGGTGATATTTATTGGTTTCGCACCCATAAAGTGATGTTTAAAGAAATCATGGAGGGCGGGATATAAATTTTCCCTTTTTTTAAACATAAATAAATGACATTTGGCTTAATATTTTGTTTTACATAGTACCATTTTAAGCAGAAGTATCTCTTTATTTATCTAACAATAAATGTTTGTTGGTTGTTTTTAAAGATCAGCCCTTCTAAAATCACATTAACTAATGCTGATAGCTCAATATCAAAACTCATGCTTAATTCGGTATTTTCTCCTTCATAAAGCTCATTAGTATTACTTAAAGAAGTTAAAGAATTATATATAGCTTCTGTTATATCTGTATAATTAATCATCAGGTTTTCTGTTGTTATTATATTGTTTCAGCATTTGCAACATTTTTCCTTTTTCATTTAAAAATTCATAGTTTTCTCTAGTATGATGACATCCTTTACAACCCTTATTTTATTGTTAACTCATGATCCACGAGTCAACAGCAAATGATCTGCGGCAAATGGAAATCTGGCGTGATGTCAAATAAAAGTAAAAAAAATTATGTGAAAAAATTATTGTAAAAAGCATAAATATTATGTATTAAATATGTTTGTGTTGAATAGGTTCACACTAAGTTTTTTGCAGTTGACTCGCGGATCATGAATTAAAAATTTTTTTAGATAAAAAAGGTGTGCGCATGTAAAGGATCGTATAATTATCGACCGGATCATGTGCACTCGGAGTTCCTTAACGTACGATATTAACGTACGGAACTGGCTGGAATTAACGCACGTGCACATGCATAACTCCTAAACTCGGGCCGCCAGGTGTACGTTAAGATTGTACACCTAAATTCTCACATGATCAAAGTTATCACATGAGCTAACCACCTCCGGATTAGGAATTATATGGCACCCAACAGGGCGGACATCCTTATATCACCTTGCCGATCATTTACCGATCTTATAGTAAATTGGGTGATATCAGACTTTAAAGCTTCGGCCGAAGTCACAGAAGTTTGGCCGAAACTTGAAACTTTTATGGGTCATAGTTTAACTGATTTAAAATCAATGGCCGAAGTAATCATTCCTAATTTTAGGTAATCAAGAAGTTATGGCTAAATTTATACTTGCAATTATATTTGTTATAATCTATATAATAAATAGAAATTTTCAAAATGCAATTTCTCAATCAATTTAGTGTAAAAATTTTATGAAATTACTATCAAAATGTTTGTCTTGACGAGATGAATCTAAAAAACTAACAAAAATTAAATTTTAATCACTGGTTGTCACAATATCATTAAAATAATTTAATTTTCTAATTATTATTAAAATTCAGCCCATTTTTGGGTTTTAGTTAATTTTTGGATTTGAAAACATTAATTTTCGGACTTTGGATGAATTTTGATAACAAATAAAATTTATATAGTTAAATTTGCAAAAAAATGGTATTTTTTATGTGATAATATTAAAATAGATGATCGGCAAAATGATCGGCAATAATGTGATAATATGAGGATGTCCGCCCTGTTATGGCACCCTCACTTCTACAATGCCTATTGAGAACCATTTATATTCGGATCTTTAACGATTAGAAATAGTGTACGTTCTCTATTAAAAGTAACTTGTGACATGAATTTCCTTCTGGAAAAATTTTGTCGGCTGTAACATGATAAACATCATATGAATTGGAGGTTGTAAAGTATCTCTATTAAATTAATAAAACATTAATTTAAAAAATAGATGCATTTTAGGATTACTTCGAATGCGTTTGGTTTAACATTTAGATTATACAATATTTTTTTCTCTTGTAATCATTGTATTCTGATAACATATTTCGAAAATATAGTGAACATGTTTGAAAAATGAAAGGATATTATAGCAGAAAATTCTTTAATAATAACTTTACCAACGCGAATTATTACATTGGAAAAGATATTTTTTTTTGTAAATCGTAGTATTTTTAAATAAATATTATGATATAAGGTTTATCGATTAAGAAATGTTATTGTCACGAAAGATTTTTTGACAGGAAATAAGATTTCTAAAATAATGCTTTATCAAAATAGCAACACCTGCAAGGATATAATAATATTACCCTAACTTCTTATTTCAATTAATCAAGTTTACCCCTTACGATGACATGTATGCTATTTTCTTTAGGTTGTCTGTTGCCGGTCGAGTGCCAACTTTTCGAGATACTTTCGTCCGGTGATAATTCCGTGCCTTCGAGTTCGCTCGTGTATCGACTTTGATTCCTGAGAATTTTTCGTTTCTCTTCGTCATCTTTACCAATGTCGACCTTCCATAACTTGAGTTCGCTAGGATATTTACTGGTAATATCGTTCTTTTTTTTCTCAAAAATAAGTTTTTTGAGATCTAAAACTGTATCCCCGGTATCAATTTTAACTTTAAAAGAATTACTTAAATTCTCTCCTAAAACAAAACACTTCAGAGTAATTTGCATGGTGTATTTAAGTGCGTATTTAAGTTCGTATTATAAAGTAAATACAGTTGAACGAACAAACTTTTTATAAGTTTTAGTGTGATCGGCCGATCGGCCACGCATGATTATGGTTACATCCGAGATATTTGCCAAACGTCAAGCAAATTTGGCAAAAATACGCGACAGTCATAAGATCATTAATAAATTTTGAAAGTAAAGAAATGAGAATTTATTTAAATATAACTTCTATAACTTCTATTATTTTATAACACAATATATTTTATATAAAACACTATATGAAATTGTATATACTATATATATATACATAAAAAAAAAAATGATAATAATGTACAAGAAAAAAAAATAACAAAAATAAAAAAAATAACCCAATAAATAAAATATAATAGGCTAACACTGTAACACATTATTTAGATAAAGAATCTGTTGAGTTACGAATAGAACTACTATATGATGACCGTGTTTTCGGCTCATTAAATTGTGATACATCACTATTAAAATAAAAAGAAATGAATAATTATTATTTATGAGAAGAAAGAATCAACATATTCAACAAAATTATGCTTACCTTGTACTATCAATTGCAATTTGAGCCATTTTTTTACATTCGTTACTACAATATTTACTATAACCTTTAAGAACTGCCTTTTTCTTACAAGGGTTTCGAACACAGTAATCACATAGAGGAACTTCTTCTTCTTTCTTATTACTACTCAAGATACTTAATCTTTTACCCTTCAATGATACTATACTTCGTCTGCTTTTTATGCTTGATGCACTTGAATCTAATTCATCTGATTTATTCTTAGGGATAGAAGGTAACGGTTTTGCGGAATTATAATTACCTGATGATCGTTTGTTAACATCAACTAATTTTGGTATTTGTGATGGGGATGGTGGATTATACAATGAAGTTCTTTTACTTAATGAAGTTGTACTATTATTATTATGATTATGAATAGATTCCGAACTACGAGAATTATGAACAAAATGACTCGGTTCATCGTAAGTATATTGATCACCACCATCATTTCCTTTATTAGAAGTAATTAAATAAGTTGTTGGTCTAGTGGGAACAGGAGAAACAATCTTTGGAAGGTAAACACCAGAATCGTCATTTATTTCTTCATTAGTTGAATAGATTGATGATAACCTTTTAGAAGTTTTATTAATCACGGAAGATTGACTTCCTGACGTAGAAATTACGCGTCTACGAGAAGTAGAAGAAGTAGGTACAACATTATTTCCACTCATTGGTATGGTTGTTTCGTCAGGATAATTAGTACGTCTTTTTTGTTGTTGTTGTTGAATTATAGTATTAATTGAAGATACTGAAGTGACAGGACGAATTGAAGAAGAAGTATTATGCGATATTTGATGAGATTGGGATGTACCATTTATAATAACCTGTTGTGGACGATGTTCTACTTTAACTAAAGTTGCTTGTACTATACTGGCAGATTCTTGACCTAAATTCTTTAAGGAATCTTGTGATCCATAACTTTTTATTATAGTTGAAGTGCGTTTAGAAGATCTTCTTTGTATAGGAGGTGGATCCGATCGTATAACTTCTCTATTAACAATATCTTTTGATTCTTTGATATCAATATTTCGATCTTTTTGTAATTCTTGATGATTAATTACTTTTTCTTCATTATTCAACTTATTTAATGATTCTTGTAATAAAACTTTTTGTGATTTTAACAAATCATTTTCTACTTCAATCACATTTTTATCTCTAATAATCTTTTCTTTTTCTTCTTTTAATTTTATGATTTGTTGTTCAGTTTGATGCTTATATTCATCTCGTGATTTTGATAAATTATTGGACATTATTTGAGATTTTTCTAATTCTACCATAAGATCATTATTTCGTTGTAATAATTCATTATGTTGAGATTTTAATATATTATATTTTTCTTGTATATTTTGTAAACCGTTAAGATCATCTTGTAAAGAATTTGATTGTTGTCGAGTAGAATTTAATTGTTGTTGAGTAGAATTTAATTCACTTTTAGAAGATTCCAAATCTTGTTTTAAAGAAATGATTTCATTTTTTGATGAATTTAATTCTTGTTGAATAATATTTAATTCTTGTCTTGAATTATCCAATTCTTGACATTTTGAATTAAAATTTTGTCGGGAAGAATCCAAATCAACTTGTAATTGAAGAATTTTTGAAGTTGAAAAACTTTTATCAGAAGATAATTCATCACGATGAGAGATGACATCATTTAATTCTTTCTTTTTTGAATTATAATCATTTCTTAATTCCGTTAATTTTTCTTGTAAATCTTCATTATTCATTGTTAGATTTTGTAATTCTTGTTGTAACATATTTTCATTCTTTGTTACATTAGATAATTCATCACGTAATTCATCCCTATTTTTAATTATATTTTGTAATTCAACTTGTAACGTACTATGATTCTTTGTTACATTAGTTAATTCATCTTGTAATTCATCCCTATTCTTTAATAAATTTTGTAATTCATCTTGTAACGTATTCTGATTATTTGTTACATTAGACAATTCATCTTGTAACGTGCATTCATTCTTTTTTAGATTTTTTAATTCATCTTGTAACGTATTTTGATTCTTTGTTACACTTGTTAATTCACCACGTAATTCATCCCTACTTTTAATTATATTTTGTAATTCATCTTGTAACGTACATTCATTCTTTTTTAGATTTTTTAATTCTTCGCGTAATTCATCCCTATTTTTAATTATATTTTGTAATTCTTGTTGTAACATATTCTTATTATTTGTAACATTCGTTAATTCATGTTGTAATTCATCCTTATTCTTTAATATATTTTGTAATTCAACTTGTAACGTACTCTGATTCGTTAATTCTTGTTGTAATTCAACTTGTAACGTATTCCGATTATTTGATAATTTTGTTAATTCATCCCTTAATTCATCCCTATTCTTTATTATAGATTGTAATTCCTCTTTTAAAGTATTTTCATTCTTTGTTGATTCATCCCTATTATTTTTTATAATTTGTAATTCATGTTTTAAATTATCAAAATTAAATTTTAAATTATTTCTATCTTCTTTTATAGAATTTAATTCTAAATTTAATTTTTTAATAATAATATTTTTTTCATTTAAAGTAGGATCAAAATTTTTAGTAATAGTATTAACACTATTTAAACTATTTAAACTATTTACGCTCTTTTTATCCCAATTATCATCATCATTATCATCATCATCATCATTATGATCAATTTCTTCACCACTACTTGGTATAAATTCACTTAATAAACTTTTTTCACTTGTAGATTCTCTATCATCTTTATAATTATTATTATTATTATTATCATCTTTTAATAATTGATCATATTTAATTTTAAAATTTAAATTTTCTTTTTGTAAATTATCTCTTATTTTATTAAGATAATTTAATTCATCTTGTAATCTATTAATATTAATTGTTAAATTATCATTTTTTAAATTTAATTGAATATTTTCATCTTTTAAATTTTTATTCTCATTTTTTGAATTTTTGAATTGATCTTTTAAAATATTATTTTCATTAAATAAATTATTTAATTGATCTTTTAATTCTGATGAATGAATTTCTAATAAATTATAATTACCACGTAAATCATCTTTTTCTTTTATAGTATTATTTAATAATAATTGTAATTTTTTAAATTTTTGTAAATCATTTTTCATTAAATTTTTTTCTTTATTAATATTATCTAATTGAATTGATTGATTAGATAATTTTTTTTTTAAATTTAATAAATTATTTTCCAATGATAAATTTGTACTTTTTAAATTATCCCTTTCCCAAATTATTGATCGTAAATTATCAGATTGATAAATTATATGATCTTCTAAATCTTTTATCCTTTTTGTTACAGTTAAAGATAAAGATTGACCATCACTTATTGAAGTAATAGAAGTATTATTTGAATGTGATGATAAAGATGATGAAAATGAAAATGATGAAGTAGAAGAAGGTGAAGAAATTGGGGAAGAATGATAATAATTAGAAAAAGAAGGACGTGAAGCAATTGAATGACGTGGAGTTGAAACAGAATTTCTTGTAGAAGTATTTGGATGATTATTATTATTGAAAGAAGAAGAAGAAGAAGAAGATGATGATGATGATTTAACTTGATTTGTTAAATTATTTATTAAAGAACGATGAGGTAAATTATTAGATGTATTTAAAGAAGAATTTGTTGTCATTAAAGAAGTAGCAGTAGTATTTTGATTAACATTATTAATATTGTTATTATTAATAGTGGAAGATGATGAAGGATGATAATAATAAAAAGGTTCCATTTCAATTATAAAATCACTACATCTTTGATGTAAAGTTGATAAAGTTGTAGATCCACCATTAGAAGAAATCTGAGTAGGAGACATGGTCGTTATAGCAGTATAATTTGATGTAGTTAAAGATCGTTCGGGTATTTTAGGTAAATCTAATGTAATGATATTATTATTATTATTATTATTATTATTATTATTATTGTGTGTTAAAGTATTTAAAGTGGAAGTGGAAGTGGAAGTAAAAGTAGAATTTAAAGATGTAGTGGAAGGACCGAATGCAAAATAATTTAATAAATTGTATAAAGAATATTGATTTGAATCGGAAGGATCGGAATTAGTAGGATTAGAATTAGGATTGAAATTAGGATCGGAATTAAGATTGGAATTAGGATTGGAGTTAGGATCGGAATTAAGATTGGAATTAAGATTGGAATTAGGATTGGAATTAGGATTGGAATATGATGAATGAGAGGATGATGTTGAATTTATATTAGTATTAGAATATATGTCGTTATTATTTATATTGTTATTATTACTATTATTATTATTATTATCGTTAAAGTTATTATTAATGCTATTACCCGTGTTATCAATAATATTACTACTCGTCATGGTTTTTTCTTGAGTCTACCGTTTAATATAATATCGTTTAATATAATATTCTAGTAAAAAAAAAGTGAGAGAGAGAAAAGAAAAAAAAAATATGTCTAGTAACAGTAATAATAATAGTAGTTAAGGGGGACCTTCATATGTAGATATGTAGAAAATCTTGTGTTTCTTTCACACCTTAAAATGAAATAAAAGCATACACCCTGCTTTCTCTAAAAAGCTGACGTACAAAAATATTTAAAAAACGTTTTGTGTTATCTCTTTATCGCTTTATTTTTGTCACCTTTTTGTCACCTTTTTTTTTAAAGTTTTTTTTTTATACAAAAGGAATTTTTTATCAATTTTTTTTTTTTAAAAAAATAACTGATAAACGTACAAATAATAATAAATACTGTACTACAAATAATGTTCATAGAACTTCTTTTGGTAAAGATATTCAAAGATATTCCTTACCAAATTCCTAAATGAAAAATATATATAAAAAAGGATGATTGTAAAAATAGAATATTGAAACATAAATAAAAAAATCTTTTTAGTCAATAACTCTAAATCTTTTTTAAATATATTTATTTATATATACATGTATAGATAACAAATACATTTTTCCTTTATGGGTGGGAAAAAAAAACCTGTTAATAATAAATTTATGGAGGGGTCCTGGATTCTGATATATACGTAAATTATAATAAAAAATGTTTCAAGAAATATATACATATATATATAATTGGACATTCAAAGAGAAGATTATACATCTATACATATAATATATACACATATATATACATATAATATAATACACATATATACATATATAATATATACACATATATATACATATACATATATACATATATATATATATATATTACAGTATATATCATCTGTACAATCCGTACATATATATCAATATAATAATGATAACGATTATAGTTGAATTTTGTACGATATATCAAAGTCATTGTAAAATATTGAGTAACCATTATATGTTATCTATTACTTGTAATACCTATTACATCGTCGTATCGTTATTTATCATATTTATCATATTTAAATGATTTACCCGTTCTTTCTAATTCCAATCGAAAATTAAATAAATTCGAATTATTTTAATTATTTTCAACATTAAGATAGACAGTAGATTGTTTTTTTTAACGCGTTATTTAATATTATTATACCATTGTTTCATTCTGATTTTTATAGTTTCAGTTTTTTTTTTTACTCCTTAATTTTTGTGAGTTGTGAGATGTCAAAAATGTTATGTACCTAAAGTAACACAACGAAAATAAAACAGAAATGCAGCGAAACCATCTTATAATATAATATAAAATAACATTTCTATTCATCTGTTCGGATAAAAAAATAAAAAATTAATATTTTTTGATTTTACGATTTTTACCTTTCATTTTTTTTCGATTGTCTTTTCCTTTTGGAACAATGAAGCACAAACGGTAAAATAATTAAATATTAGGCCAAAAAATTTATCCTTCTGGTAAGTATGATTACACAAATTTATTAATTATACCTAAGTTGGACCTAACCAAATTAACCGATCTAATTCGAAAATATCTGATAAGCCTTTTTTTTTAACGTTATTTCGCGTATGCTGTTGCACGTTTTATTTACTGCAAACATCTAATATTGCGTTACAATTTGTTTTTTTATGTAACGTAATTTTTGACGCACATATACTTCAGTACTGGTCCCCATGTTTGCTGTAAAATTATTACGGCCAACATACGATCAACTTACGAACAATAGCTTACGAACAACTTAGAGAGTGTCAAATTTAGTGTTATGTTTTTTTTTCGTTCGCGTTCCCCTTCGAAATATTTGACAAAAATGGAAATCCACAAATCCACACCCCCTAATGAAATACTGATAGTATGTCGATGTTTCGTTTTAATTGATTAGTAGATCAAAAAAAAAAAAATCTTAATAGTATTGGTTCCGAATTCTTCATTTTCTAAAGAAATAGAGTTCAAAATTAACTTTAAAGAGTTCCGTATTTCCGTATCACTACTTTTTGGATTGAAAAATTAAAACCAATCATATTTGGTTATTTTATTTGTTTTGTATCATTCCAGTTTTAATATTACGTTATTTATTAGTATCGTGCTACTTTAAAATGTTATGTGGTACAATTGTACAATTGACTATAAATATATTCTTTTTATTTTTTTTTTTTTCATTATAAAATAGTAAAATTTTTGATAGATTAAAAAATACTAGTTCAATCAATGCATTATTAATTTATCATTGAGATTATAAATCATTAAATATGAAACATATTTAATGTTAATATAAAATTGGTATATAATCTATATTAAACTATTAAACTATATTAAACTATATTAAACTATATTAAACTATATTAAACTATATTAATCTATATTAATCAATATAAAATCTTTCTTGTTAATTAAAAAAATGATCTCCGTTATGTAAATCTAACAAAGAAACATGGCGAAACAAAGAAAAAAAAATAAAAAAAGAATCGTTTCATAGATTACGAAATAAATCAAAACTAAACTCTAACAAGTAAAAAAAAATATTAGAAAAAATGGAGATTATACCGTAATCAATCCAAAGTAAGATTGATTTTGACTAAAAAGAAAATTAGACTAAAAAAGAATGCATAATTGCATAAATCCTTGCATATGTAACATTTACATGTGTATTTTTAAATTATTTATAGAATAAATAACGACCCTTTAAGTTTAGTGTGTCGCATATTTTATTTTAAAGGATAATGGCGCATTGTTTAAATTATCGTATCACTAAAATCTTTTGGCTCGTTACTTCGTACTAAAAACTTCCGGAATAGCAACTAGTCTTTTTGTCATACATTAAATACAGTATATTCGGTTATCCGCTTCGCGAATCTTAATTGAAATTTAACGTTAAAAGGTAAAAATTTATTAAAATGAATATCGAAATTTATTGAATTACTGTAGATTATTAAGTTTTTATTAGAGAATATCTTTCTTACTGTACAACGATATCGTAAACATATCGTAACGATGAGTTTCGGGTATATTCAAATTTATTTATAGTAAAATAATAATAATGATTATTAGTAATTTAGTATATTATTATTATTATTATGTATATGCAAGAGTCCCTTACATATTTTCTTTTAAAGTAAATTCCCTTCTAAGAATTTCCATGAGTTCTTCTCTAATAAAGATATATAACAATAGTAATTGGAGAAATCAGGGGGGTCTATATTAAAAAATGTTTCAGTTTTATTATTTGGAGATTTGACTAAGTAAATAAATCTACTGTACATAAGAAATAAAAAAATCGTAAACGTGTTGTATTTTTATTCACATGACAAAATATTTATTATGGTCGCTCTATTTATTTGTAATTTATAAATTTGTTATCATATGTTTAAAAATAATAACCCGTGCATTTATGGTTTTATTGATTTTTTATTTTTATTCGAATTTTGGATCTTGTATTCTACCTTTCTTACGTTATCCCTTATCACGTGATTAATTGGATAAATGACGCGTAATCATAAATGTGTACCTTAAACATACCATTAACATATCTTACTTTTAATGTCTCGATGGATGTGAAGGTGCCCAAGGTGATGTCCAATGATCCAATGATAACAATATTTATTAATCAGCACTTGATTAAGAAATTTTTAGATTCTAAGCCACTAAAATGATGTAAAATATCTAAGCCACGAATTTTCATTTTTCATTGTTCTTTAATCAATGATTGTGTTAGATTTTATTCTTTTTGTATTCTCAAATTCTTTGTAAAGATTCTAAAAATTCTAAAAATCCGCGATGACTGTAGAGAACTTGGTTAATGATGTAACGTGTTTTAAAATAAATCCTACATACTTGTACTCAAACCAGCTGTTTATCCCCTTTTTTTTTTGCAAACAAATTAAATAATACAGTATTTGATTATATAATTTTAATTTCTTAATTATTAAATTCAAGTTTGAATTGTAATTCTATTATTTGTTTGTTCGAAAATTGAGGCTTAGTAATTAATTAATCCTAAAAGATGTTTGTAAATCTTTTTTAAATTAATGATATATTTAACGCGTAACAAAAATAATGAATATTTGAAATTTTTATATTACAATCATTTGCTTGCATAAAAACTATGATATTTTATTGTGAAAAAAGATAATCATATAAATTTTTATCTGCAATACGCCAATACTATATATACGGATTACGGATAGTGAATTTGAAGTTAATTCTAGCTAAATTATGCTAATTCCGGCCAGAATCAAGATCACACCAATACAAACTTTTTGTTTAAATCACATCATACTCTTTGGATTATCACCCAATAAAACCCTGATCATTCTACAATATTGTAACCACAAGATATAATACTATCAAAAAGCCTGCCTTAATGAATTTGTCTCAATTAATACTTCTATTGAAGCTCTGAAATAAAATAAACCAACATTATACAGTTGTCTAAAGTACAAAGGTTTTGCCATTTTTTTTTGATTTACAAGTTCAAATCAAATATTCTCAAATATTGTTTTGATAATCTGAAAAATTATTTAAGAATACTCTACAAATTAGAATACAATTTTACGATTTGATATAATTTCAATAGTACATTTTTATGATTTTGTTGCAATTTTGGTAACTAATTTTGCATGATTCGATCAAGTCAGGTGGTGATAGCCTTAATATTCAATAAGGCGACTTTTGAAATTAAATCGAGATTATATAAAACTAAATCATGACCATAAATTTTTGATGTGGTCACTATTTGGTTTCAATTTTAAAAGTTTCTAGAAGCTCACAAAAAAAATTTTTAAAAAAAATAATAAACAGAAAAAACGCGACACCAATATCGAAAATTTCGTGCTTTGTGCTTAGTTGTGCTTTATTAGATTAGATGACAAAACGCCATTGGCCGGGTAAAAAATATAATTCGCTTATTGAAAAAAAAATTTTCAACTAAGCACAACTTAAAAAGAGAAAAAAGGATCCCTATTAAAAAATATCGTACAGGCTCAACACAAAGCCGAGAAGAACTCGCGAAGCAATATTGGTAGTTCGATTGCAATTATGATGTTCATGGCAATAGATTGTATTTGTTATTGCATCTCTGGTGTAGACTTTTACCATACTCGTGAAAGGATCAACTAACATTCCCTCCTAGATAAATGTTGATAATATTTAATCAGCAGATTAGCAAAATAGCCACCAGAAATTGATCTAGCTATTTACATCAACCCCTCCTTTCATCCAATCCATCATTTTCTCATGCACGCCTAAAGATGAGTCACTATCAGATCGTAATTCTACCATAAAATTTGGAGCGACCCGTGGAAATTTGGGTTTTCAGGTGGCAAAGTGGGTAAGATGACTTTGTAATGATTCCACCTACAATAATAAATTTAAGGAATAAATAAAAATCGAATAGATGATGCAAAAACATGCAAACTGTTTTATATTTGATCATATTAAACCTCTGGATGAGGACAATAGATGCATCAGGACCTAAGATGTTGGTTCCACCGGCACCATTAGGAACTATATAGGCTCCCTATAATCAACAAAAAATAATTTAAAAAAATAATACTATTAACATAAAAAGGATTGTGTGATATACCGAAGGTCCGCCATAATGTCCAACAAGATGTCTATTAACAATACGCCAATTGGTAACCTGCCTAACAATTTCTGCTTCCCTTTCATCTAAATAATATTTGTGATTTTTTTTTTTACTATAATCTTAAATTGATTAACTAATACTAACTTAATAGTAATAATAATAACAATTAATTCTATACAATAAGAAGAAATCTGGAAATGTTGTGAGAAAATTTTTCTAAATATTATGATTATAATTTTAGTTAAATCTTAATTATCATAATTTATTTTTTTAGTTGCTTTAACATGACACCTTCAATTGCAAATAGTGGTTTAGAAAGTTACATACCAGTTTCTTCCAGTACTGGAATTATCACCAATTTACCCCGAAAAAGATTTAATTTAATGTGCGGATTTGAGTTCGCAATTTTATTATACAGCTCTTCGTCACAGTTGGGAACAATAACTTAGTAGCGTTTTGTTTCATGAACTCTTCCCTAAAGTCAATAATCTTTACGGCCTCAGATATTTCAAGAACAATCTCATTGTAAGAAGCCATGTTTGATAAATGAAATAAAATGATTTTTTTTTTTTTAAATGAAATAAAAGGAATAAAATATATCGAGGATTTAGTAAATTTAATCATGGTTTAAATTGAGTCTTTTCAGATTGATTGATAGATAAAACCGATAAAACCAATCAAATTGTTCTGTCCATACACGTACACGGAAATAGAAATAGTCAAATAGATCAAAATTGATGAACTTACTTTCTGGAGATTTTAAGAAGCAACAGAAGTTGAAATCCGCTAAGAGAGAGAGAGAGAGGGAGAAATAGAGAGAGGGTCAATAGAGAGAGGAGAAAGAAAGAGGGAAAATTATATTTTTTTCCGTCGCACTTTACTCAAATGGCTAGGCCATGTCACGTGACTTAGAATCGAATACTTTAATTAATAAAAAGCTATTTTTCGAAAAGAAATTTTTTTGAAGACTTTAAATGGAATAAGAATACACGTTTAAAAATTCAAAGTAAAGTTTTTTATTAAATTTTTTAAAAAAGCTATGTAAAATAAAAAATAAGCGATGATTTGTTTAAGTAAAAGATTTTTTAGGTAGCGAACAGATGAATAGGATCGACAACGCAGAATTTTGTGATCACGTTATTGCAAAAAGGGGGCTGATACAAAAAAATCTCTTTACTTCGGATACTTTTATATTCATAAACTAGCTTTACCTGTAATTGCAGTTACAAACACACATATATAAAACCATGTCTTCACAAGCCTCTACACCTTCTTCTCCAAGATCAATAACAGAAGTTTCTTCTCGAACAATGTTGGACGTTGTTAAGGATTTTGATACAGAGGGGACTCCATGAAGGTGATATTAAAATTCGAAAGTTGCATATCGTGATTTTCTTAACAGAAGAAAAGCTTGAGCGTTATGGAATGAAAGGAGGGCCGGCAATAAGACTTGTAAACTTCATCGAAGCCTTAGTCAGAAATTATGAAATTATTCCTCGCTTAAAACTCTTGATGACTTAAAGGAAATGTTGCATAAAAATAAAGTGAATGGGGAAGTCATAACAAGCATCAAGCAATTTACTCCTGGTAGGTAATTAATTAATTTTCAAACCTGACTAAATAGGTATATTAACCTTATTTTTTCTCTGCAGTCTTCTGGTAAGGCGTTTGAACACTGTACGGAGGACATTATCTTAAACTTTCGAACGTAAAGACCATGACCGATGCTAACAAGGCGATGCGTTGTGAATTTATTTCAGCTATATTACATGCATCTATCGCTATAGCTAAAAATCTCACCTCCCAAGATATATTCATAGTTTTACAAAAAGACGTTTTTGGTGAAGATTCAACAGGCCGAGACTACGTGATCAAAAGTTTGGAAGACCTCCTATGTGTTGCTGAAGGGAAACCACGCAATATTAAGATTGGATATGCCCAAGTACTGTTCACCTTCTCAGTCTATTGGCTTTGAAATGGCCGGAGGAAGAAAACTAAAGGATGATGTATTTTATCTCTTAGAATCTGGCAACTTGAGAGTGCATTTCAGACAAATAAATGAAACGGACTGTGGATCAGGCATTTAGAAACGACTATTTTGATTACATCTATGGTATTGTGACCACGAGTACGGAGTGACATTTCATGAATTACTTCGAAGCAACGTAAAAAGGATATTGTCGGGTTGCTGAAGGATTATGTTAGTGTAGAAGCAAGAGGGCTAGGATCAAAAAATTTATCAAAAAATAAAATGTACTACAGCTACGTCCCGAGCTTTGTATTTATTTTTGCATGTATTAATAAAAATTTTTCTTGGCATTTTTCCGTAGACTGCGTGGTCCCGGAAATCTGGTACCTACTTTTTTTTTTTGCATTTTTCTGTGATGGCTTTCACGCAAATTTCTTAGCAGAACGGATAAATAGGATAGAGCATTAGCATAGCAAAAGTCCCGAATCTTTTATTTTCCGCATTAATGAAAAGTTTTCTTGATTTTCTTGATGAATTTTTTTCATGTGGTCACATGATTTTTATTTTTTCTTAGAAATGGCTGTGATGCGATTTTATTATTTAAGCATACAAAGCATTGAATAAAGTTTTTCCCTCATATCGGGCTTTTTGTAACTGTATATTGAGAAATAAAAATGTAAGGTTTTTTTAGTGAAAACATGCTAATTTATTTTTAATATTGTTATTTAGTATAATAAAATCGCAAAGCACATCTCACATATACAGAAACTCTCTATTTACAATAATGTTCAGAAAAAAATTCTGAGACAATGTAAAAAAATAAAGGCATGATAATAATAATAACCAACCAGAATAACTTCGAATAATATGATTCTAAAATCATTGATCACACCAGTCAGAATGATCAATGGCAAAACATGTGAAACGCCCATATTTTCCTCCACCAACCTATTTTCCTCTGCCAACCTTTTTTTCCTATTTTTCTCAGCCAATTTTTTCTTTTCCAACTTTTCATTTTCCAACTTTCCATTACACGATGTGTAAGTTCCACTTTAGGTAATAACAACACATATCTTATCTGGGTGGTAAAGATATTTCGCAAGACCTTCCAATTTATTAATTCCCAAAATACGCATGCCCATATTCCATTTCACTCCACATAAACATGATTCCACGATCATCTAAAAACAGAACAGTTCAGGAATGATCTACAAACAGTGGATGAATAGATGTGATACCATATTTTTTACCGAAGAATTCCTTATTCTCTTGGTCAATTAACAAATTATCTGTAGGTCCATGGAATTCATAAAACTCACAATTATTCTTTAATCTGTCAACCAATTCTGAATAGCTTTGCAATTTTTGCATGGTTCCTTTATTTCTCTGCTGTGTACTGTTATTGTTCAAGACTTGATTTGGAGATCTGGTTTCTACCAACATAAACAGGTCCAAGCATTTATCCCCAAGCAGTTTCCAAACTCCCACTTTTCCAATTTTGGAATCACATTTCCACATTAATCCCAAGAAAAAAGGTATTTGTCATTCTTTTGTCAGATCAGACACAATTCTTTCCTATCATCCCAGTTGAGAGCTAGAATTGATGCATTAAATGCAAGGTTGATAAAATTTTTCTGGTTTGCTTTTTAGAAAATGTTGATTGTATATGGTTGCTAGCTATGATCATGTTCCATCATTGATATCCATATTGACAGATATCAACTCCACCTGACTTAGATATCTTTTGCAATTTTTTTTTTGTTCTTTTCTTCTTTGGGAAGCTTAGATTAATCGTGTACAAATAGTGAAGATTGTCTGGTGGGGTTGCTATAGTGATTGGGATCTTAGAAAATAATGTTGTCTTTCTTGTACAGAAGAATAATTTTGTTGTATACTGTCCGTCCTCCTCTATGCACTCCCAAATCTAGAGTGAAAATTAAGAATTTTTTTTTTTACCTGTTTTTTATAAACAGCTAAAAATTAGCTTATCTAATGTCTATTCCGTTCTTAGTGGAAAAGATTTAGATTATTGAAAATAGAGTTAGTAGTATACATGCTGCCCAAATTATTTTGGGATGCCATAATTATAATTTGGGATGCCATAATTCATTCAGTTTATATATAATTTACTATGTAAAGTGCCAAAATAATTTGGGATGCCATAATTGAATTTGGGATTTTACTTATAATTATAGCAGTCCAAAATAATTTGGGTGGCATGTATAGTTAGTAGAATCAAAGTTAACATTATCCATAGGGCTTCGATCAGTTTTGGTAACTACGTACCAAACCGTACTGATCAGTTTTGGTATCAGAACGATTTCGGTATTCTGATTTACCGAACCAAACTTTTTGGTAAATTTACTGATTGGTTTTGGTAACTTCAGTTTCAGTATCAGTTTTGCGATTTACTGAACCGATTTACTGAACTGAAACTTTCAGTAAGTTTTGGTAAATTTTACCGATCAGTTCGGTAGATTTTACCGATCAGTTCAGTAGATTTTACCGATCAGTCTGATAGATTTTACCGATCAGTTTGGTAAACTTTACCGTTTAGTTATGGTAGATTTATCGATCAGTTTTGGTAAATTTACCAAACCGATTTACTGAATTTTGCGAAACATTTATTAGTAAAAAAAAAATGTTGCGCAACATTTTTTATTTGGCAATTTGGTAAAAAAAAGTTTCGCAACTAGGCCCCGGGCTCCAATCATACTGATAAGGATGACTGTAGTATTGCGGCAAAAATCATAAAAAATAAAAGCGTCAAACTTGACGTTAATTAATTAAAAATGTCAAACTTGGTTAGCGCTTTTTGATTAAAAAAAAATGTTTTGGTTAAAAAACGCTGCACTTGACGTTTTTTAACTATTTTTTATTAAAAAATGTCAAAATGCGGCGTTTTTAATAAAAAATTACATTTTTTGATTTTAGTTTAAAAACGTCGCACTTGACATTTTTTAACTAATTTAATTTATTTTTTATTAAAAAACGTTAAAGTGTGACGTTTTTAATAAAAAATTTTTTTTTTTATTTTTTAGTTTAAAAACATCGCACTTGATGTTTTAACTAATTTAATTTATTTTTTATTAAAAAAATGTCAAAGTGTGACGTTTTTAATAAAAAATTTTTATTTTTATTTTTTAATTTAAAAACATCGCACTTGACGTTTTTAACTTAATTTATTTTTTATTAAAAAAAACGAAAAAAAAATATTTTTTTTTAGTTTAAAAACGTCGCACTTGACGTTTTTAACTTAATTTATTTTTTATTAAAAAAATGAAAAAAAAAATATTTTTTGTTTAAAAACGTCGCACTTGACGTTTTTTAACTAATTTAATTTATTTTTTAATAAAAAATGTCAAAGTGCGACATTTTTAAATTTTTTTTTTATTTTTTAGTTTAAAAACGTCGCACTTGGCGTTTTTTAACTAATTGATTTTTTTTCTTATTAAAAAACGTTAAAGTACGACATTTTTTCTTTTCTTTTCTTTAACAATATTAATTTTTTTTAAATTAAGAACGTTAGTATCGTTCTTTTTGCACAAATCACATGATTGCAAAATTGCGCAATCTACAATATTACGGAATTGATTTAATTACCAAATTTTTGCAGATCGATCTTATCAATTTTAATCTTTTTTTACATTTTTTCGTTTTTTTTACATTTCTCTAATATTAATTATATACTAATTTCTCTATAATAATAATAATTTTAATTATAATAATGACTTCTGAGTTCGAAGAAAATGACATTGAGGAAATGGCTGAGGAAAAAGCTGAGAAAGAGGCTGAATATAAGACTGAGGAAGAAGCTAAGGAAGAAGCTGAGGAAGAGGTTGAGTATGAGACTAAGGAAGAGGCTAAGTATGAGAATGAGGAAGAGGCTGAGTCTGAGACTGAAGAAAATCAAGTTGATGATACTGAAATTGAGGAGCAGCAGATCGAAAAAAATATTGAGCATGAAGTAGAACAAGAAAAAACTAATATGAAGAAATGTAGTTAGATGTAGGAGCACTTTACATATGATAAAACTGTGAAGAAGGCAAAATGCAAGCATTGTAAGATTTTAATTGCTTGCAATAAAGGAAGTACGTCAGGAATGGCTAGTCATATTAAAAGTAAACATAAATTAATGAAAGAAAAAGGAAAAAAATAACTTACAATACGTGAATCTATTAATAATTCTGAAGTAATTGTAAGTATAATGTTTATTTCTTTTTATTTAGTTTATAGGTTATAATTTTGTGCATTAAATATGAATATTTTAATTTTTAAATTTATAAACTTATGTATTTTATTAATATTCATATTTAGGTATATAGTAAAGAAACTTTTAAAAAATTTATTATTCGATGGATTGTAAAAAATGACCTTCCTTTTACTTGTATTGAATCTGAAGATTTTTGTAATATGATTTTTCTTTTACATAAAGATGCATTCATTCCATCTGCTGATACAATCAAAAATTATATTATGACATCTTTTAATGATAGTCAAAAAAAAGTTGCTTCTAATTTACAGGTTATATATATTAATGTTTTTTAATAATAATTTTATTTGAATTTTACTAATTATTATTTTAATTTTTGTAGAATACATCTAGTAAAATTTCTTTTACAATCGATGCATGGACTTCATCAAATAATTTTTCTTTTTTAGGGATAACAGCTCATTGGGTTACAGAAAATTGGAAATTAAAAAGTTTCCTTTTAGATTTTATTAAACTTGAAGGGCTGCACTCAGATGCCAATATCAAAGATGCTTTTTTAAAAAGCTTAAAAAATTTTAATATTGAATCAAAGATTAGTTTTTTTTTATAAATAGTAAAATAATTTTAATAAAAATTAAAAAAAAAATTATATAGATTCTTGGGGTAATGACTGATAATGTCAGCAACAATATTACATTTCTCAAAGCTGTTGAATCTGATCTTTCTCAAAGATATATCTATTATGATAGTGATGATAAGCACGTTCGTTGCTTGGCCCATGTAATCAATCTAGCAGCGCAACAAGTCCTTACTACTTTTAAAGCCACAGATAATGATGAATCATCAAATGAAGAAGTTGGTAGTTTGATAGTTAAGGTAAATAATTTTATTATATTGTTATTATTAAAATTTAATTAATAAATCTATTAAAAATTGTATTGCCTTTTAGCTTCGTACTCTTATTAAAAAAATAAAAGCATCACCCCAACAAGTAGATAAATTCAAAGCTCAATGTAAAGTTGCAAATGTTCCAAATCTAAATGTCATACTAGATGTTCGCACTAGATGGAATTCTACGTATGATATGCTTATAAGGGCAAGAAAACTTAAGGAAGTAAGTTTGTTATTTTATTAATTTTTATTTTAATTAATTTATTAAAAACAATTATAATTTTATTTTTAGCCTCTTAATATATTAAGTAACAGTGATTCAAATCTTCGTCCTTTTACAATTAATGAAGATGAATGGATTAATTTGTTAGAAATAGAAGAGCTATTGAAAGTTAAATTTTAATATTATATATATAATTATATATTTTTATAGTTTTATTAAAAATTTTTATTTTTTAGTATTTTGCTAAAGCAACAAAGCAAATTTGTGGTGAAACATACCCAATACTTTCATATGTGATTCCTATATACAATATTTTTTTAAATAAATTAGAGGATTTTCGGGATACTCCAAATAGATTTGAAAATGAAAAAGTAAGTTTATTTATATTTAATATTTATATTAAATGTAATTAAATTCCTTTTTTTTAATAGGAAGCGGCAATTAATGCCATTAATAAGCTTAAAATTTACTACAATAAAACTGATTCAACTTTATATGCAGTTTCTTTAAGTAAGTTATGATTATTAAGTTAATTTAATTTAATTAATTTTAATAATGTTTGTAATAGAAAAAATTTTAATTTAAATAAAAGTTAAGGATAAATCTAATTGTAACAGCCTGTTACGCGTCTTATTTGTAACAACCCCAATTTTATCCAATTAAAATTTAAGATCAGGCGTAATGTAAACAAAAACAAAAGATCGGTCATGTAACCAAGACAAAAGAATTTTTTAAAAAATTTCAAGAAACTGCTTATAACTTGAAATTTTGTCTATGAAACTGTCTTAAGTATATTAAGTAAAAGTTTTTCAAAATAAATTTTGCATATAAAATTTTATTTGTAAACTATATACTAAATTAATTATTAAAAAAAAATAAAAAAAGGATGTTACAAATAAGATAAGTAACAGGCTGTTACAAATACATTTATTCAAAAGTTAATTAGTAAAAAAGTGAGAATTAATTATATTACAGAGGGACTATTTGGCTGGAACAAATAACTCCAATAATATAGACAATATTATAGACAATAATAATACATTAAAACATACAATTCTACATTCATGTCGAACATTAAAGTACAGAATAACATCTACAATAACAATAACAAAGTAAATTCAGAAAATATTGATAGTTTTTTGCTTAGTTAACATATACAATTTGAGAAACAACAAGTGGATTTAGACGCGT